TGCTGGAATCGATTTGGGTATCGGGGATGACCACGTCGCTGTGCGGCTCTTGAACAGCAGGAGGACGGCTTTCTCTTTTGTCGTCGGCTGAGTCTGGTCGGACTTCATGACGAAGGCGAGAGGGCTTCTGCCCCTTCACAGGCATGCGTCTTCGAGCAGCCTGGTCGGCCATTGGGGTTGTGAACACCAGGCGTGATGCAATGAACAGTGAGAGGGTAACATGCAACAAGGATTCTGAAGGGCAGTCTTTGGGAGGATTTCTGGTGGAAGGGGAGGTTTTGTGGCAGATGTGAGGGGTAGCAAAGCTTGAAGAGTCGCCATTCTCTCCGCGCCTTCCCTGGTTGTCATGAGGAAGTGACGCTTCCCTCTGGTAACGTGCCTCGGTCAGTAGTAGATGCAGTACACAGAAGCTGAAGATAGCACACAGGCAAGCATGAAGATTTGCATTGGTGTGTTCAGAGGATTGATTTCACCCGACTATACCCACTGATGAAAGCCCAAGTCCTAAGGTCTACAAATGGGTGATGGCCTACCTTTACCTGTGATGCATCCTCATCCAAGAACACTGCGGCATATGTCCTGCTAGACTCACCTGACTTCCCCGGCTGCATTTTTTTCTTGGATGTTTCTTTGGTTTCAGGCAACCCTGACATGTCATACATGTTTGGGATTGTGCTGATGTGCTACAACGCGTTAGGTAGTAGGCACGTGACTGTGACCGACAGCTGAAGATCAGGGTACTACTGATCAGCATACCAATCATCAAGTCCCCACTCCATACCGGCTCTTGTTCAGCCCATCTAGTCTGTTTTTTTTCTTGTTATTCCTGCACCTGCAAAGATCATCTCGACAGGCCACCAATGGCTCCCACCGCCCTATGCTAGAAATGAAAGGACGGAAATACCTGCACACATCATGGCCTCATTTCCTATGCTCTGCGCGACCAAGAGTGGGCGGTACCGATGAGTGGTCCTCAGCACGACAGCTGGTAACGTTGTTCACGACGAACCAGAAGACGTTTGGATATTAGCATGAATCGTCTCCACAGCATTGTCCGAATAGTGGCGCGTTCTATTGTAGCAAGAGGCTGGATACGACTCAAAAGCAAGACAAGAGGCAAAAATACCTACATGCTACGGCTTCACCGACTGCAGTATGGGGCCGCCATGACACTCGAGCCGTGTAGCCATAGAGGATCAAGAATTGTTGCTGGCTGCCATCCCTGAAACATAAGAAGCGGCGACATTGCTAGCAGGGCGGTTGTGGCCAGGGTCGAGCCAATCAGAAGCGCCATCTCCTTAGCCTCGCTGCACCGTCACGTCCATCCACCACATTACGCGCCCACGACCCATTACGCCCTGCCAATCCGCGCAGCTTACGCTCCCAAGCCGACAAAACTCGACGCCAATGCCGCTATATTAAGAAGATGGCCTGATGGGCCCTCCCGACAGCCAACCTGGTCTGCCGTCCAAGCGCACGATGCTAACCGCCGACACAGCCTGAGACTGGCGGGGTATTGGACGACAATTGGAGAAGGTAGCCGTTTGGGTAAAAGAGATGTGCGCGCGGCCATGCAAATATAGGGACCTGCCCTCCGCGCTGGTAGCGAGTTGTTGGTATCTATCCAGTTGATCGAACGCCCTTCACGCCATCCTGGTGTCACCAAAAACTCAATCAATTCTCCGTCGTGCCGCATTCCAACATTGCCGTCCGCATCATCATGAACGGGCCTCTTCTCCTCTCGCTCTTCTTCCCTCTGCTAGCCCTGGCGCAGGATTCGTCTTCGGGCAGCAGTCTCCCGCCTCCGGGATACAATGGAGGCAGCGACAACCCGCAAGACCCTAGCGATGCTGGCGCTGCAGGCTCGCAAAAGGGCGCTTTCTCTTTGTCAGGCGGTGCCGTTGCTGCTATCATTGTAGTAGCTGTCCTTGTCGTTCTGGGCTCAAGTACGTTCATCACTCCACTTCTCAAACATACTTGAACTAACAAACATCTAGTCGCATCTGGAGTGCTTTGGTGGCTCGCAAAGAAGCGTCAGTGGGACGTACGAGCATCTATTCGCCGCGCCTCTCGTCGCTTCACCGGCCGCTCAACTGTCGACAACAAGCAAAACCGTTCGGATCGACGCACTGGTATTCGCCTCAACTCCCCGCCCCCAGGCAGGAACACCAACAAGATGCGCGACATCGAAAAGGGCCTCCCTATCCCACACAAGACTCCTCAAACCACTACCATCATCACAAGTGGCACCAAGTGAAGACTTCCAGGATACATTTTTGGCTCACTGAGACGGATCAAGGGCACTGCAGGACACGTCGACTCCGGAGACGACGACAATGCATGCGCCAGGGAGACACGGAAGGCCACAATAAACACCATGGCCATGTCTGACGGCCAGAACATTGTCTATGCTGCTTCTTGACAAGGCTCAAAAAGCATTCTTATTCATGATTGCACGTCTGCGGACACGACAGTAATGATACCATTTAGGGACCAAGGCGCCAAGCTAGTCACGGGAGCGGCTTACTCTGCATTCACAGGCTGTTATCTCTATCTTTTCTTCTTCGACTTCTGCGTTTTGTCGCATTTTATGATACCACATACTTATAGTATTTCAGTTCGATATCCACCAATTCTGGCGGAGAAATAGATTATACAAACCACTTTGGTCTGCATGCAACAATCCGGTATAGCTGCACCCGGCTGGTTTTATTCAAATGCATGATACCAAAATAACACTTGTGCGCATAGCTTTCCCATTCTCGGTGCTCTTTATCTCCATAGGTTGGCAAAAGCGCGTATACAACTGTCTGACCCCGCCTAGCCCTCGGTGGATAAATGGGTCCCTGGAGAGACCCCAGTCAACTTTTCTTACCCCACCTAAGACTCTTGGAATCTGCACTCATGGTCTGATGACATGTCGTTTATCAGATTTCCAGTGTTTCGCCACGCGCCTATGCTAAGGCTGGGAGTAAAAAAGAAAACGACTTAGCCTATGCATTTACGATTTAGTCTCGCACTGCAAGCATGGAACCGCTGCTCAGGCAGCTTTATTTTTGGTGCGGTTCGGAAATTAACTAACGTGAAGGTAAAAAGATAAGCTAGGCGGAGCAGGGAACCATGACTACCTCCTCGGCTTCTCTGCAACCTGATGCCCTTTGTCTGCTGGCCACGTGTGCCATTAATGCACACATTAATTATTTTTCTTTTTCCCTATCGTGAAAGTACACAGGTCCATTCAAAGTGGGGGTTTGCTTTTTTCAAGTTCATTCTCCTTGATTCATGTCGAGGCAGTGTTGTCCCGAGGCAACACACACCGTTTCCGGTCCCAAAATACACGTAGAGGAGCTGCTCAAGGACACCGGGTGGCGTTATATCTGAGAAGTGGCACGCAAAAGTTGGAGAAGGGAGATTGGTAGCCTATTTCATGCGGAGTTCTTGACGACGCTAGAATGCCAGCAAGACATGATGTTGTGCGTATGCAAGCTAGGGGTTTTTCTTTTTCTAGAACTTCAATGATGTCATCTTGGCAGCTATACTAGTGTTGTTGGTTTCGCTTCACCATGTGCTGCCAAACCTTATGCTGGCAGTACTCGAGAACTCGGCCGTTCTTACCCTTTTACCCCATCCCACACTTGTGTAGTCAGAACTCAATTGGAAAATCGAGCCATTTCTCTCGTGACACATACAGTTAGTTGTCTGATCCCTATATCATTTGATGTGGCAATATCGTGGCCCACAATTAGCATTTTAACCAGTCTTCGACATACCAACGGTGGATGAGCACATGGACTTCTGGACGTCAAAGTCTGCAATAACCCACCCACTAGATGAGATCTTTGCGACGCGTGCCATACTGTGCATACGTTCGAGCAGGCGTTAGGGGGCAGTAAGTAATAGATACAGCATGGTGGAAGAGCGATACGAAAACACAAAAACAACATGTGCTAGTTGAACAGGGACCAAATACAAATAATAACAAGACTAGCATACCCACGCTACTCTGTTGCTTACACCGCCGATCAAATTTCGTAAATGGCGGAGCCGCATCGGATTCGTTCCGACCATTCCCGCCAATAACTGACCGTGCTCCCAGACCGCAAGCTCATCGTCGATACACATAATAAGTACATTTAGGTTCTGGGAATCCACCAATACTCATACTGCTGCAAAAGCTACATGAATGCTGTCATTCCCTCATCTTATCATGGCCTGTTCGCAAATCGCTCCTTCCAGCTCTAGCAATCACGGATATTAAATCGAGAATCCTCCGATAAAGATCGAGCGACGCCATTGGACCGACAAACCATAACAGCCCCCAAACCTACTTTGACAACACAACATACTACAATGGTCGACTCCGACGGCCGCAACGAAAAGCGGAAAATGGCTATTCCTCGGCTGCAGCCGCGCCCTGGATTGAATACAAGAGACCAAGAAGACCGTGTGTATGTCGCGCCGAGTTGCATTGCCCTGCTCAGTAGTAACCAAAATTGTGTAGGAAAAAAGCGTGCAAGATTTGTCGTCAGCGTAGTGCGTGCCGCAGAAAAGGCTTGACAAAGTGTGAACTCACTTTGTCATAGGGATGAAATGCTCAGGTACTACTCCGAGTTGTCAAAACTGCGACGCTGCTGGAAGGGCTTGTGTATACGAGCAGAGTCGGCGTGACCGCCTCGATGAGTATACTTTCCTGACCCTGCAAGCGCTTCTTTATCTGCTAACATTGCGCAGAGCCATACAACTAAACCATGCGCTTGCCACCCTGCTCTGGGACATGAATGAGCACCTCGATGACGAATCTAGGCAAAAGATACAAGACGTTCTGGATATTGTATGTTTCCCTGTGACGAAGACTACGTCTCCGGTATAGTAAGAAAGCTAACCATGTACTTCGTTGATAGGTAGAAGAGTATGCGAAGCTACAATCCACAGATTCACCTTTAATTACTTTAGGGAAGCGAAACCAACTACCTCATAGAGAACTCCGGAGGGCACCAAAATATGGTGAGGCGCTTGTAAGCGGCTCTGTCGGATCCAACCAAAGCCTTGACAACCTGTTTGAAGACTTGACTCGGAGTCACAGATCAAGAGAAACTGGCTACGTGGGTCAAGCCTCCGAAGTTCAGTGGTTACTCAATGTGCAGCGTCAACTGCAAAACATCAACGCCGAGGCCTGTATTCCAGCATACATCATACAAAGACCAGGCCGAGATGCGAAAAGAACGCGGCCTGGCACCATCCCTGAGCGCACAAGCAATGCTCAGCAGGTCTTACCACAGGGCACTTGGAAACATATGACTGACACCTCGTTCTATCTCGATAGCTCCGACATAGCCATGGATGTATTCATAGATCCCTACGAACTCCCAAATGCCGAGACTGCAGAGAGACTTTTCGGCTGCTACATCAACACAGTCCACTCATCTTTTCCGCTTGTAAGAATCAATATGAATATGTTTTATATGAAAGACATACCGACAGGATCTCCTTTCTTCTAGGTAAATGCAAACTTCGAGCACCAATTCCGTGCATATATTGAATCTGCCAGAAAAAAAAGCAATTTCGACATGTCCGACGCATGGCGAGCTCAGTTGAACTTGATCTTCGCGATAGGTGCAAAGTGTTCTCACCTTACCAGCGCAGAGTGGAGAGCAGACGAGAGCGATCATGGATATTATATGATGAGAGCTGTGCACCTCATTAGATCTGAAAGCTCTCTCAGAGTGTTTCCAACCCCCAGCTTAGAGCTTGTGCAAGCGGTAAGTGAACTATCCATCTTCGTCACTTTTGTTGGTTTACAGTGACACTGAACTTTACAGACTTGCTCAATGTCTTTTTACCTTCTCACAATTGGCCACGTGAGTAGAGCTTGGGCGCTTATCGGTGTCTCGCTACGTCACGCCATTGCTCTAGGCCTACACCTCCGTAACACAGCCATTGAATCAGTTAATCTTGGGCAAGATACGCTGACACATACATGGTGGGCTTCGTACTGCATCGAGACTCTGATGAACACCATCATGGGCAGGCCCCCAGTAATCACCGACGAATACTGCACAGTGCCATTACCTACTTATGAGTCTGAAAAGGAAGCGTCAGGCAAGAGGCCATATTTCATCAGCCGTATTGAGATTTCACGCCTCACAAGAAAGGTCCAGCGGTATTTGTACTCGCCACGCACTGCTACTCAGTCTTGGGAGGTGAGCTCTCCTCATTTACTTTCTGTCGCTCTAACTTTCATTCGCCGTACTTACCAATGCACAGTCTGTACAAAACACGATTTTGAACCTTCTCAATGATCTTGACAAATGGAGCTCAGCAGTACTTTCCACGAGCCCTGAAACACAGTACAGTAGCCGTGCAACGGACTCTAGCCGCGAGCAATTCCATCTAAGAATAGATTACTGGAGCACCAAGGTACTCATTACGCAACCATGTCTTCGCAGCTTGGGATGGCGTGTCGAAAATCAAAGCAGCGCCTCTGCAGATTTCGATATAAGGATGGCTGATTCATGCATCACTGCTGCTTTGGAACTGGCAAATATGTTTCCTCTCCAGCTCAACACGAAGTTCGTGTACAGGGAGGGCCCGTGGTGGGCGATTGTCCATATCAGTCAGTGTACACCGAACAAGCATATACGATACACACTAACTTATATCTCTATAGTAATGCAAGCAATCACAGTCCTGTTGCTAGAAATGACCTACAACATGCAAGGCAAACGAAAACAAGAGTTTCCTGTGATACCTTCACTCCAGAGGTTGCTTGGCTGGTTAAAGGCTATGCAAGACAGCGACCCGTTAGCTGCCCGCGCGTACGATGTCGTTCGGCAAACGCTAAAATCAAGTTCTCCACCTTTCCAAATTCAAGTGGATAAACTTCTCGCACTCTCAGATGCCGGGTTACCCATGACAACTACCCTCTAAGTAGCTGATCAAAGAACAGAACCGAGTGCATTACCAGTTCGGATTAAATTGAGCTTACTATACCTTCGAATCTACAGTCCCTGAACCAGTTGTCTTCCTGCCGTTTCCCTTCGTATCAGTCTCGTCTGTCCCAGTACTTGTTGGCTCTTACCTTAGTGCTAACAATCAGCCAATACAATCAAGCAAACCTCATCTCGATTTACCATCTCTTAAATAGTAATTACGACAAGCACAACAAATTCGGAGATGGAAATCCACATAAAAACCTCTTCATCACACCGGAATAGAAATTGCAAGCACAGCCAGGATGTAATATGGTAGACATCGTGTATTCCAAAGCTACCCATGAACCGCTATCGCGCTCCTTGCATCCTCTCGCCACCTCTCCTCACAATTCCTCCAACCCTCACCGACAATACCAATCATAATACCCCTACAGCGTCGCCCATCCTGCAGATTGCATCGACTCACATCACCTGATCCATCAGTCTCCGCTTCGCCCTCCTCCTCCCCCCCCCCCTCAAAAAATGAAAATAAAGTTTAAACTCGCATTACTATCACACCAAAAAGAAATCCATTATATTGATTGCCATACCCGCAATTTCCACGTCCCTGTGGTCACTGAATTCGTGTAGCGCAAGAGAAGTAATTTGAACGGAAGGTGTATTATTTTCTACGTGGGAGTTTCATTCGTACTCGGAGATGCGAAGCCTTGCGTCTTGCTCTTGCTCTTGCTCTTGCTCTTGCTCTTGCTCAATCGGACTTCCGGTCAAATACATCAAGGCTATGTAAGATGCTAAACTCGCCGGGCGTAAACTGAGGAACGCAAAAGAAGAGGATGGTCACTTTTATAGAAGACTAGTTTTGCTGGCGCGGCGGTATAGAGGTACTACAAACACCTTCTGTCGTTGTTAGGAGTTTGAGACTGGTAAGGAAAGAAAGAGGGGTTGGTTGGTTTGATGGATGAAAACTACGGGTTAAAATGGTCGCTGGTGATACCAAATCGTTGTTCTAGCAACAAGTCTTACCGATTCATCAAGAGACAAAGGTTCGACGCATCTGGGATCCGATTAAGGAGGAAGTTAATTTCTGGCACTTACTGGAGATGTGTCTCCGTATCGGGATGTATTAATGCATCAGCACAAGCTGGGTGTCGTTAAGTCGAACGAGCAATGCTCGAGAGATGGGTCTTTATGGTGTTGATCGCCATTCATACTTACAATTACCATCTCTCATGCCCAGGGAACTTATCTGACACACGTTGGAATGATTGCTTGCTCTCATATCAGTATCTTAGCGCCTAATGTGTAAATACCGCATCTCCCTTATATACACACACCCCCAACTCCTACACTTTCCCTTGTCATACACGCACGTACAACTTCAACCACCAACTTTCCATCCAAACCCTCACAAGCCCCAATAATCAACTCCTCGGACCTCCCGAACCACTGACAGAATCATGACCTCATCGCGATCACACAACATACACGCAAAGCAACGCAACACATCTAGAAGACGAAAAATCTGCAACTGTAAATTGCTACGAGCCATCCCCCCATCCCCCCTTCCCAGTCCGGGGGCAACCAGTCGTACCATCTTTCCAAACTCCAAAACAAAAAACCCATGGTATGTATAAGTATGCGCGCTCAAAATGTTGTACTCCCTTCCCCCCCCCCCCCCCCCAAAAAAAAAACGAAACACCCTTTCATCTCCGTCTCTATTTCATCGCACAAACTTTCCGCTCGCCACTTTTCCACAGAGACTGTTTTTTTTCTCACATGACAGTGCAAGGAATACAGCAGCAACTGCAATCATCGGTACTAATGCAGCTGCACTTGCCACCCTGGGGCTTAACGATGGAGCCGGCGGTGGAGGCGATTGAGGAAGTTGCTGAGGCGGGCATTTTTATTTTTTATTTTATTTTTTGCGATTTGATGATTCAAGGTATGCGATCGAAGATGTAGCGAGGTTGCGAGAAGGCAAAAAGTAAGTGAGGTTAGGGGGCGCGAGTGTTGAGGAATGCTGCGCTATGACGTTTGTTAGAGAGTCTCCTTGGGTCTTCAAGTGCGCGCGCGACAGGCGCGTTCGGGGGGAACTTACAGTAGTGGGTTGTGTGGTGGGATAGAAGAAAGAGGTGGATAACGTGGAGAAAAGGAACAAAGTTGGGGGTAAGAGGGAGAGGAGGGGAGAAGAGGGAGATTAAGGTTGTCGTATAATGGTTTCCTGGCCCTGCTTCAATGCTGCTGCGCGTGGCGCGCTAGGCCAATGACATGCGGGCGCTAGCGCCGACATGACGTCGCCTGCGTGGCTGTGAACGTGGCTGACGCCTCGTAATTCTGAGATGGATACATGTGGAAGAAGAATGGAAGAGAAACGTGGCGATATTTCAAGTTAAATGAATTGTTTTTCATATCTATCAGTTGATGCACCCATAAGAAATGGTATCGCGAAAAACAATTAAGAGAACCCAACACCGTGCCTTGACGCAAAACATAACCTTTCGCAGTACATCCGAGACCCTACACGTCCCTCCAAGTTGGTTGGCCTCTCTCCACGAAAGGCGTTTTGATTGCTGTAGAAATTTAGTCACGCTTAGGACTTTGGTTGTGGGAAGCTTACCGTTGCTGTCACCAAACGGATCGTTTTCGTCCTCCTCAGGCTCACTGTCCAATTCAACACGCTGCTTGCTAGCCATGGGAGAAGCAGGCATAGGAATGCTCGTGGGTCGGGGTGGCTTTGGTGGAGGAGCCTCATTCATGTTCATGTTAGCCATGGCCGCTTCAGCAGCTGAAACATTGCCTGCCTCGTTGTCGCTGTCGCTGTCATCATCAATGCTCTTGTCCATGATTTCAAATGCCATTAGTCCCTTGACCAGCTCATCATTGGCATTGAGCAGACCGCCGATGTACTGTTCCGACTCAACGAGGTGGATATAGCGCAGAATCTGACGACGGAGTTGTTTGCACGTCTCGAAGCGACGCATAACTTCTGCGTTTTCGCTGACTCGCTGTTGCTCACGATTGATAAGTTGCAACCCATTCAATAGATTCGTGCTGGCAACGTTTGCTGATGCGATGGTCTCGAGCATCTGTCCCTTCTCTCTTTCGAGATTGAACGGCTGTCGCTTGGTCTTCTTGTCTTTCTTGTCCCTCCTGCTGAACAATGAAGAACCGGTAGAGGTACTAGGGCCGGGTGCAACAGGAGCACTCGTCCTGGAAGGCGAACTATGAGACTGTTCGGACCACCTATTTCGAGGAGGAGATTGCGAGTGCTCCTCACGTTCACGAGCGGCCTCAGCGTCTTGCTGACGCACTATACGAGACTGTTGCGGCTGCGGGCGCTTAGTTCGAGGTAGCTCCCTGTGCAGCGCCGCTATTCTTTCAAGGCCGGGTTTTCCTTTGTACTCCGCTGCCCATCCGCGAAACAGGACATTAGCTTTCTGCCGTACATCGGGATCTACTGTATCGTCTCTAGCCAAGATACGAAGTCGTTCCAAGAGGGGCTCATCTGCAAACGTTTTTTGGAATCTTGTACCCGCATTCTGGATCAATGCATCCAGTATGACAAGAGCACGTATTTGGCGATGTGCATTGCCATATTTACTGTAGTGGTGTTAGAACCCAGTACTAGCCAGGCCAAGTCTTGACTCACAGCTTCTTGCGCAAAGCTCGAGCTGCTTCTGTTGGTCCAGATGCTTGGATGCGAATAACCTCAATGAGGTCGACAACTCCACCAATATCCTAAGCCACTTAGCACCGCAGATGTAGGTCGGTTGTGGGGCTTACATTTTCCTCGTATTGCTCGCTCGTCAATCGGTCAATCTGGACCGTTACGGCCGAAAACACGTGCTTCTATTGCCGCAACCAGGACTTTAGTGACTTGTGACAGTGTTCAAAGAAACATAAAGGACAGGGGTTTTCGGATATGGGTAGTTCTGCATATGTCTCTGGCTCCTTGTGATAGTGTAGGCCCTTGATAGTAGAGAGAACTTTGAATTTGCCTGATTTAGGTAAACTCTGCTTTGGGGAAGAAAGAGCTTGGGGGTCACATGAATAGTAGCGGTAGGTGACTGAAGGACGTCCCGGCGACTGGCCAGCAACAAGTGGCTCAGCATCGATGCGCTGGACTTTGGGGACCATTGTTGAGTTGGGGAAAATTTGGGACGAGCGGGGCAGGAAATGGAAGGAGGTACACTGATGAAAGGGGGCAATTCTGGGGTTCAGGTGGCTTTGTATGCGACTGAAGGTGAACGTAGCTTACCGGCATTTGCGATGGCCTTGGGATGGACAGCTGCTATATTTGGGCACAGAAAAAGCAAAATAGTCGTGAATAGAATATTCGTTCTGCTGTTACGAAGTGCTGCAGATCTGCACAGATGGGTGAATCGGTTTCCTCACCACGGTTTGGAAGAAGTTTGGAAGCTGATTTGGGGGTAGGGATCTGGTGTTACAGATAAGAATAGAACAGCACGTGGACTGAGGAGAACACGTGCAGGCGAAATGCGTTGGAAAGAGAGCCGTCTGAGGACTGCAGAGCTCGTGTTCTATGAAAGGAAGATGTTGTAAGTACACGCGGTATGTGAGTGACGCTATCGCTGCCTTGATCAGGAGGCAGGTCACCCCGCAGTGGGGGGCTGAGTAAGGAAGTCACAGCCCACGCGCCCACTACCTACTCCTCTCCACCCAACGAACTCTTGGGCCCCAATCTTCACTATCTGCTTCATATCATCTGACTCACAATCAACTCTGCAGGAGACGAAGCATAACCTGTGTGGTGAAAGAACGACTGAGATGGTGATAGAGGGGAGCATTGATGACGCGTGAGAAGCCCAAAACGCGTGCATCATCACTTCAAACTCCTCGTCTTTCACCATTGCAAACTAACACGAAGCCGGCAGGCAATCTCACCTGTCTCAGGTTTCTTCTGGCTTTACAGCAATCAACCATGGGCCGGTACATCGTGAACAGCTCTTGACGCCCGAATCATCGGCGGCTCCATCAGTCCGGCCGAACCCAGCCTCGTCAAGGGCGATCAGCAGCCCGCGACGGCGGCACAATCCAAATGTTGCTCGATACCTCGGCTTGGGCAGCACCATTGTGCCAGATCATCTCAAGAACTATGCACCACGGCCAGAAAAACCAGACAGTCCATCAGTCGAGTCTGGGCGAAAGCGTATACGAAGGGCTGATGACGAGATTATCCAGCGTAGCTCCTACACAAGGGAGCCTCCAGGCAGACCTGCAGCATCGCCACTGGTACCTAGCCCATACAGCGCTCAATATTCTCAAGCTACCTATGATTCAAATGATAGTACATCCATCATGGACGATCAGCCTTCGCCCCAGCCCTGCTTTGCTCAACCTGAAGTCTCGCACGTGACCCCGATAAGCACTCTTGACTCAGAAACCGTACGAATGAATATTCAAGACGCCGTGAAAGTACCACATACTGAGAGTCCCTGCTTGTCACTACCTGATCGAGGGGAAGGCCGTGTAATCGGTATATGTCCGGATACTGACGACAGTAACGTGCTTTGTCGAAACAATGACGGCATAAATACCACCGGCGATGATTATGAGTTCGACATCACCGACGATGAATTACTCACTTTAACTATGGACTTTGATGAAACGTGTTCCGACGTTCCTCACAGCGTCTCAAGCTCACTGGCAAAGTCCTGTCCTAACGATAACGAACAGATGCACGCTAGTGATGACTGTAGTGAAAATGCACCTGAGGAAGCGCCTGCTATCAACACCTCTCAGCACACTCGCAAGAAGTTTGTATCTCCAGTTACTCTAACTACCCATCTGTTGGCAGCCACTGGCGACGGGGGATCTACAAATGCTCGGACCCCGATTGTCAGACCTGCGTTTCCGAAACCAGCTCGCGACCGCTCGCCTATCATAGGCCTTTCGTCGAATGTAGTACTCAGGACATGTTTCCGGATCGGCGAAGCACTCAACCAAAGCCATCAAGCATCAAAGTCAGGGCAACAGATGCTCATCGAGCTGTATGCCAGGGTACTTGCTTCGGAGCGAACTGAGAAACAGCAGAACTTTACCTTTTGCGACCTTTTCCACGCCAAGCCCCCTTACGTGAAGGGCCTCTACGATGCAGTCATATGGAAGGCGGTGCCGTTGTTCGAATATGATAGCAGACGGCTGCTACAGCAAGGACGAATGTGTAGGTGCATTGGAACGATGAAGCGAAACGGAAAGGAGCGATTTATGGTCATTCACAACATATGGGAGGCGACCTGGGAAGACATCGAGTGGGTGGAGGGCATCGTGAGCTTTTAGGGATGTGGTTGGGATAACGTGCACATGTGAGACGATCTGTCAGCAATCTACGCGCGGCAATGATTCTTTGGGCATGCGGATATGGGGAGATGCTCGATTAGACTTTGTTCCGGGGTTCGGTGGACGTAATATGCAGCCGAGTGCTGGGCGAGGCAACAATAAAGGTAACAGAGGGTGAGGTTGTTTCTGGCTCGCACGTGACAATAGTAGGCCCTGATTAGCAGCCGCCCCGCTTTGGTGACATTGACGTCGAGCGAGGCGAGCCGGGCGTATCAATCACTACCAAGGTTCATTCCTGTTCACAGCGCGTCGCTAATATAATGAGTTTCGCCAGTCGCCCTGCAGAACCCTCCTTCTTCTTCCCCGGTTGCAATGTTGACGGCAAAGACGACGCCAGATATCACTAGCAGACGCGAACCCGGTGACCGCGAAGGCGCCGTAATGGCGTCGCAGGTAGTGACAACACCACCAAAGACGCAGTCGCCCAAAGCACGGTCTCTCTCCGACAGCACACCCCGTCTCGAGCCATCGCCCAAGATCCATGAATCCGCACGCATGTCAAAGGACGACCACACCATCGATGCCAGCCCCAGCACCCCTCGCCGCCCAGACTTCCTCTCCAGAGGCCTCTCTCTGCAGATGCCTCCGAGAGAGTCGCACATGCCTAGCCCCGCCCACTTTGCTGCGCGTGTACCTCTCTCACCGCAACTAGATGCGCGCAACACGTATGCCTCCCCTGGGTCCGTCCTGCCCCGCCGCTCCCGTGGTGCCGAGTTCTCGAGAGCCTGCACCAATCTCCATCACTCGACGCTCCCTGACCAGTCGTCCCCCGACTCCTCGCCAACCATCACGCAAAAGGGCATCAAGATACCACCGCGGAAGCCTCGCTCCAACTCGATGCTCATGGAATCACCCAATGTGAGCATGCACGGGAGTGGATGGAGCCATGGGGATAGGACGGCGCCTTCGAGCTCGGTTGGCAGCATCAACATGATGGGGTCTGAAGACTCGAGCAGTTCTTCAGACGAGGTGGACCCGTTAGACCCTGATGATCACGACGACCCCATGATCACGACACCACAGGCTAAGACCAATGTCTTGTTTCCAGGTCTCGGCTCAGGCAACAATGGGATATGGGCAAACCTCTTCTCCCCCGGGGCACAACCCAACTTTGCAAGCATGCACCGCGCTAGGCTGCGCAAGGGCCGAAGTAGGAAAAGTTCGAGCTCAGCCAGTGGTCATAGTTCAATGGCCAGCCCCGGACCAGGGTCACCGCCGAACGGTAAGGAAGGTGGGTATTTTGCCCGAGAAGCAGCAATACGCAAGGCAGGCTCCCGCAGAGAGAGCCTATCGCTTTTTGCCAACGACCTCCACATATCCTCTGGCAACGACAGTGGGGATGAAGCTGTCAATTTACCTCAGACTCCTGGCGTGGTGAGGCGGGCAGTTACACGGAGAGGCAACCTGCTTGTACGTTTCTTTCTATTTGTATATTGCAAACCAAGCTACATATGCTAACTTGGCCAGCCGAAATCGAGACAATTTGGCCGCATCCGGGCTGAGTTATTCGAAGAGGCAGCACCTGTAGATAGCGAGTTCCGCCGCGAAGCCGAGATCATACGGCAAGTAAGAGAAAGTGATGTAGACCAGGAAAGGACTTCAGCCACTGCCCAATCCTCGCCTAGCCTTCTACCTGCTGTTCCTGGACTGGATGGACCACTGGAAGGAGTACCGGAAGAAGGCGACGAAAGCAGCATGAGTCTAGACAACTCCCATGCCAAGGGATTGTTCGGTGTGTTTGGTAATCTGCATAGCGCTGGCCGAAATTCAACGAGCAATGGCTTCTGGAATCAACGCGCAGCTCACACTCCTCCGCCGTCCTTCCCTCGAGCGGAATCGTCGGCAATGAGCGAAGATATGAACATGGATTCGCCAATCATCGGCCCCAACGGTGGGGCATCTCGAGCATCCACACCCGGGCCTATGCAACCACCCACGGCAGCTGAAGCGCTGAAGAAGTCAAATAAACGCCGGCGAGATGATGACTTTGATGAAGCATCAATCAAACGCCGTGCCGTCTCGCCAGGCGTCAGCGTTCATAATAGTCCTGTCATTTCCCAATCGCCTGCTCAGCGGGACGGAAACCTGTGGGGAACAAGCGCCAAAGCAAGCAGAGAAACATCTATCAGTGGGCACTCGTATGGAGAGCGCTCAAATAGCGGAGGAAGTATGAGTATGACGCCTACATTGGGACCCAAGAGGATAGGTCTACAAGGCATGACTGACACGAGTGATGGACTGATGAAGATGAGCATCGAGTAGGTGCACAAAATGCGATGTTTTACAAACTGCGGGAAGTACGCGGTATGTGGTTTATTTCTGGCACGGTGTTTAGGGCATGAGGGATTGAACGTACATGGCTAGTTCATTCATGCACAGGCTTTTTGTTTTTGAATAGATACCCATTGATCATTTTTCATACTATCACCAGGCGTCTGTCGCATTCTGAGTTCTGCCTGCTCTGCGTGTACGCAGAGTGAGGGGTGGCCCCTGCACTCCCGTTGGACCCCGCCCCGCTGGGCTCCTCCGCCCTCGACGTGCGCCCGCAACTGTGCCAACACAACAAGCAATTGCTGCAACAAACAACCGCCAAAATGTCACGAACAGCAGCCCTCTCTTCCTTTATCGATAGCGCGCCGCCGGGTGAGGTATGTTCCCCTTTGGCACTGCATATTGTTCGTGTTACAGCGCCAACTGACCAGCAATATAGCTCGCCGATGTCACCAAAGCAATCAAGTCAATCCTCGGTGACGACTCTGTCCAGAACGAGCTCTCTCCCGCATTCCAAAAGTACAACGAAGAGCAATTCGCTACGACTAAGCTCCCTGGAGGCAGCACCGAGGTCCTAGTCAGCGAGTACAACTCGCTGGGCGACGGCAGGTACTACGACATTGATACGCAGAGCTCGTTTGATTTCGACCATGTCACCGGCAAGGCAAGCGCCGTGCAAAGCTACGTTGTAGAAACTTCCAACGACGACCTTCTGTACGTCTTATCTCCGCAGCTCCAGGCACCGGTACCCAAGTAGATGGTAGCATGCTAACTCCCCACCTCAGCAAGAGCCTCAACAAAGCCCTGAGCACACACGCCACAGAACACTACCCCAAGTCCTCGCACGGCGTGTACCCGATCCCCTCAACTTCCAACTTCGCCATCATCACCGTCGCAAACAAGTACTCACCCACAAACTACTGGAATGGCCGCTGGCGCAGCTCATACATCTACGACTCGTCGTCGGGCAGCATCACAGGCAGCATAAAGGTCGACGTGCACTACTACGAAGATGGCAACGTGCGCCTGCTCACCACCAAAGAGGTCAACGTTAATGGTAGCGGTGCCAGCGGACCGGAGGTCGTGAGGAAGATTGCTGCGGAAGAGAAGAAGTATCAGGAGGATTTGAATAAGGCGTTTGCTAGTTTGAGCGAGGGCGCATTCAAGTCGCTGAGGAGACAGCTGCCGATTACCAGGCAGAAGATTGAGTGGGAGAAGATTAGCGGGTATAGGTTGGGTCAGGATATTGGCGGCGGAAGGAGGTGAGAGGGTAGCTTTGCACAGACTATGATGATGGTCTGCCGGGAGGGTTTGTCAATGGGCGGAGGCGATTCGTAGCGATATACCTAGCAGGGATGAAGTATTGATTGCGTGTGAATGATAAGATTTCCTTGGTCTATCCATGTGTATACCTCACTCATGTTGTAGGAATGTGTCGTGGTTAGTAATGTTCCCCGCAAACGGAACCCAAATCGCTTCACACAACACAGCAACAATTCCAGATTAGGTTTTTCGATTGAGCGAAATGGGTGTCATACGCATATACATAATCCAGAAACCACATGACTCGGATCCGTCAGAACCACGGACATCAACTCGAGATGGAAAAACAAAAAACGCCCGCTGATTGGAGACAGAGAGACGAAACAAGCCTGCCTCTGTCTCTGTCCCTCTGTCTCTCTCTCTCTCCCTCGCCTGACCATCACCCTGAGAACAAAGGAAAAGAAGGGAAACGCCAAACGAACCGATTCTAGGTTCCTGTATACACGTGGACTGGAAGAACCCTTACCGTGGGAATATTCGAAGTCGTCAAGAGAAAGAAAAAAAGTTGATATATATCTCCTCTGTGGGGTGAGGACAATGGAGAGGATGAAAACAAGGAAAGGGGGAAAAAAGGAGGTTTAGGAAACTTATTTGGTGATGAAACCGAGGTAATCAGCGACGATGAGGGTAACCATACTATTGTGTATTCGTTAGTTGATTTATTCAAAAGTAAAAGGTAGTAGGAAAGGGTGGGGGGAGGGGGGGGAAAGAAACTTACGCATGCGGCGCAATGCGCACATAATACGTTCCAAAGCCGCGATAGAACCTCAGCAGACCCTCTTCCTTAGCAACCTTCTTGAAGCAATCAAACATGCCCTTGTATGGCAATGTTCCATCCGGCGCACGCGTCTGCTTCTGCAGACGAGTCTTCATAAAGTCAAAGGGGAGGGATAGGAAACTGGCAAAGAAACCGGCGATAGCACTCGCTGTGAGTGTCTGCGAGCGGCTCGACAGACTGGTGTTTTGCAACTGCTGCTTGGCTTCTGAGAAGAAAGCAAGCTGCCCAAAGTTCAGCGCCATGGCGCGCACGACGGTCGGGTAGCTGCCGGCCCAAAGGCGAGTGACGCCTTCGGCCTTGCTTATTCGCACCAGAGCATCGATGACCGATGTGTAGTTTGCGCGCTGGGCGGCGGGTTTGAGGCCGTCGGATTGCATGCGGATGAGGGCGAGGTCAGCGGGGTTACCGACGATGGCGGCGAGACCGCCGGCTGCAAGGCCAGCGCCTGCACGCTCCTTGAAGCCAATGGATGTGCCGTTTTCTTTTGCACGTGCGCTTAGGGTCTTCATGAAGGTGTCGAAGAAGCCGAGCCGGGCAGTTGTGTACACGGCTTGGCGTAGGATGCCGGCGCTGAGTCCCGTGTAGAGATCTAGTACTTTGCCTTGTGCAACAATGTCCCGGAGCACGCTGATGGGGGTGGGCTTGGGGCCGGTTTTGACACCCTCGCCGGCGAGTTGGAGGCGGACTTTGACCATGTCGACGGGCTGGATGACTGTCGTAGCTGTCATGCCTGCGATGCCGCCGTTTACAAACGGTAGTGCTGCACGCATAAACGGTGTGTGGAGAAAGTCTGAAGTTGCCTTTCTGGGGTTCTCGGCTGCTTTGGACATGGCGGAGGATGCGTCGCTGAGGACTGATTCTGAGGATTGCTTTGCGTTTTCGAGGGCGCGGGCAGCAGGCATCTTAAAGGTATGGGTGGTGGCTGTTGTAGTTGACATGGCAGGCGTCAGCAACTGCACGTAGTCCTCAATTCCAAGGATTTTTCGTGTGTGTGAATGGGGGAATGATATAAAAGGGTAGTGCTGTTGGGTATAACGCTGCGCTATGCTGGAATGATCAAACGGGGAAAGCAATATAGGAGAGGACTGAAGTTGGAAGAGTCGACGAAGGAGACGGCCATCTTAACTCTATATGCCCAGGCACGATGAAACTACGACATGACGCGCGCCTGTGGCTCCAAGCCACTTGCAAGAGCCTCATGTTGCGATACAGGTTCCAGACGGTATACGCCGCGGCCGTGGACATTGTCAGGGCTAGCCTGCTATGACATGGATGTACAGTTTGCGCCCGACGCACAATAAACATTGCAAAGTGGGCTTGTGACGGAAAACGACTCCGTGTGCAATGGCCCTCCTCTTTCCGATCATACCCGCGCCGTCACGTAGGGGCACAACATGTCGGTGAATAAGAAGAAAGGGTGTTGGGGCGTACCTCGTGCTATGAAGTCTGTGCGGAGGTGGATGTCCCGGTCCGAGTAGGAGACGAGTGGGGTGTGGGTCGGGCGGGCTTGGAAAGTGGATGCGTGCAATGGCGTACGTGCGTTGGACGGCCGGCTTCAATGCTTCGACAATGTTGCAACAGAAAGTAGTGAGAATGCGAGGAGGACAAACGAGGCTGAAGGTTCAGTGAAGAAGTGAAGGGGTCAGAAATAGCATGATTGCCTACGTATTGTCAACAAGTCAGTCCACTGGACTGGTGCCATGAATTGAGGGGTTGAACGGCCTTTCCCCGCATCGCCGTCCTACCCAGCGAGCCACTGATATGGAGAGCTGGTGTTATGCGCATTTCCATGGCTGCCCGTCCAATCAAGCCTGACGGGTTGCCTGTGCTCTGATGCCATGGTCGCCTCACACGCTTCAACGCCATGGCGGAGCAGCAAAAGCTGGAGGCGCTTGTGTCGCGTGTCGGGCCCAGCCTCTTGTCCATCCCTCTCTCCGACGGTTGCTTTCGGGGACCTATGCCTGTCTCCGGGTCAAAGGGTTCAGTCAGATCTTCAGGCACGCCGTCCTCCAATGTCTCTCCGTTGCCCCGTGTGCGGAACCGCTACTATGCTGTACATAATCACGAGCAATGACGTCTGTCGCAGCAGCCACCTTCGGCCAATCCATCCCTCGCAAACACGCCCTGTCACATGCCAACGACCACCTGTAGCAGTACATCACCGTACATAAGCTTCATGTCAGGTCCTCACCTAGTTGTAGGCAATGTGACCTCAGCGCGCTTTTCTGTGCCCTAATCGCCTCTTCGACAATCACGAACGACAACCGTGCATCGTTCTTACCAGCCGCGCATGGCATGCACAGTGCTTTTTGGGCCGCCTCGAGTACTTATTGATATACCGCCTTTTGCGCATCTGCTTGGAGCAAAAGGGTCACGCCGGTTTTGGTCAAACGCAGGGTCTCTTCCGTGCTTGTGCTTGTGAGCCGTTCAAACAAAAAGTGCTTCCTGCGCGGCTGTGGATGCGCGCTTGAACGTACCCGAGAGGTATCCGCGGCCGTAGGCATTTGCTTCTGGCGATAAGCACCGAGACTTCGCTGGCCCCCGATCGAAACCACGGTGGGTCTTTCATTGATGTCTAGATGCACGGTTTTCCGAGCCCAGGTCCGTCAACAAAAGGAAAGGCCATTTTGCTTATCCGGGGAAGCCTGTCGGATAAGCCGAGGATACAGCAACATCGGCTTGTCTGCACAAGTAACCCCTCTGCGACGGTTTGCCACGACTTTATTGGGGAAATATCGTTGAACGAGAAAAAGACGTGACATTTACCGGCAAGTGAGTGTGGCGCTGGACTTGGGCAGCAACTTGACAATCTCAACGCCTCATGCATTTATGGACTATCCATCACAGATCTGCGGGTATCAGTGCGTCCTCCCATCTGAGCCTCAAGCTGACAGTTCTCCGTCGCTAGCATCGCTAACATCACCTCGGTCCCCGGCACTACCTGACGGCATTGGTTGAGATTGCCTGTCCGAACTAGGCGCTTGCATCTCATCCTCGGAACTTTCTTCGGCTTCTGCAAGCTCAGCTTCCTGCATGCGCCTGATCTTGCGGATGAGGACTTTGTTTGAGTGCACATCGGTCTCCGTGAGCATCTGGCCGAAATTGTGAGCATAAACATTCACCCGGGTGGCACTCAACAATCAAATAAAACGGAGGAAGCCATTCTTACCTGGTTACATCCGGCGACCGGACAATCAACTGCTTTTTGTTGCCCGATTCTGTGAGGACCTCGCCGAATCATCTCCAGAATTGCATTCTTTTCAAACGTATGCGGACACTTGTTGCTCGAGTAAGGCTCTTTGAACTGCTGATACGTGATTGGACATCGCGTGCTAATAGTAGCTCGGTCTACGACAATGTCATCGTCGTCGTCGAAATCACCGCGCTGTGTGCTGTCGGTGATGCCTGGCGCTGGTGATCCAGTCTCGGTGAACCAAGTGTCTTCGTGGCCCAAGACAGGGCCATTGTCCCCGTACTTTGCATCATGCACTATTCGCTTGAAGTCGCGGTATTCGTTATTGCGGGCATAGCGCGCCGTGAGAGAAAGCGACGTATAGGTATCTTTTTCGCGTTGCACACGCGAGGCAAATAATTCGCTTGCACCGGTGAGAGCCATTCGAGATCCATCGATAGGGGTCGGGCCAGGCGTAGGGCCTTCATCCATCTCAGTGTCTCCATCTCCATCAATGTTTCGGGTACGCCTTTGAATGCCTGTTTGGCTTTGTGATTGTCTCTGCGTTTCTCGCTGCGTCATCTGGGTGCGGTATTCTTCTTCCAACGTTATAGGTGCATGAGTTCTAAGCCAATCAAGCGTATCATCAATTCTCTGCGCCGCAACACCGGAGTCAATGACTGCACGCATGCTTTCTTCCAGCTTCGCAGTGGCTTCTTCTACCTTCAATCTCAACTCCTCCATGTCTCGCTCTTCCACATCTCTGTCCTCCAGGTTTTTGCCTGCATCCCACTTCTTCCGTCGTCGTGCTATGTATTCGGCATGATCGCGCAGAGTATCGTTGACGTTCTCGGCACTGGCAGTGATGGCGGCAGCGGCCTGCTTGCTGTGTCTTTTGACATCGTTCAAACTGCGGCCCTGCAGTTCGCGCAAGGCGCGGGTCGCCTCGGTATCAAGAGGGTGGGACGGCTTCTTGTACGGTGGGAGGGTGTCTGCAGCAGCATTGCGGCTTGGAGTAGATACTCCGGACTGGCGGCTGGCAGTCGGTCGAGCCGTCGATTGTCTGTTACGAGACGACATGTGGAATTGCTCAAAATAATAAACAGAAGACGCTTTGATCCGCACGAAAAGGTGACGCGAATGCGGGGGACGCGTCTAGAATTTAGTGCAGCACTAGCGCCTTCGCCAAGTCACATGATCATCTAGTCATGTAAGTAGACATTTGTGTCCGCAGCTGAAAAGGTTCAATGAACCTGTGCTCCAGAAAGCATGTATAGACAGGTACTCAGACACCGCAGTTCCCAAGATAGAGGGAAGAACTGCGTTACTCAAAATTACAATCCTGCTGTGAAATACGCTCTTCATCGACTTCGATATCCTTCCAAAAACACTAAACGCTCTGTAACCCCACCCCAGCCGTCGAGTGTATGCTTCTTTGCCAGCTTAGCTAATTCATACCCGTCTCCGCTTTCTACAGCTACATCGTTCTCTTTACTCCATATACCCCTTTCGCTGGGTAGAGGCTTGCCCTGCTTCCACGCATCGAGTACTTTGACAGCAAGCTCGGGACGTAAGCCCGTACGTTTGAGCGCTGCACTGATGAAATCGTTGGGAAACCCTTGAGCGTTCTGCTCATCATAGAATTCGTTGATTTCTTCGGCGTTGAGGGGTGGATCAGGGTCACCTGAACTAGTGGAGGTTGTGGAAGGCGCTGGAGAAGAGGACAAGCGGAGAGGTTGGGGTGGATATTGAGAGTAAGTGACTTCGTCTGCGTTCTCTTCCTGGAGGGAGCGGCGAAACTCTTCCATGGACAGTGTGGTGGACGCATCAGATTCTGGCATCTGAGGCGAGGAAAACAGTAGCTCCTGTTGAAAATTCGCTTCTTGGGCAAGGCCGAGTGAACGCGGAAACCCGTCTTGGATGGGTGAGGACAGAATCGCCTGAGTATCGAAATTTGACACTTTCTGGCGCGTGGCTCGTGGTGTTGGCGTGCTTGAACGTAGATCATCTTCTGAGCCGCTTTCGTATCCTGGTGATTGGTGCAGATGATCTATATCTAGAAACTCGTCAGACTCGATGCTCTCCACTTCCTTTTCTGCACTTTGCCTATCCAGCTCGACCATGGTAGCCTCGTCGTCTTCTGCAGAGTCGGGTATATCTGGCCTAGCCTGCTCCTTGATGAGCTCTGACTCAATTGTGTCCTGCGAGTTTGCAGAAGATGAAATCTCCAGTGGCTGCTGTTGGGTACCAGTCTCCTCGATTGGCACTTCTAATGTGTTGTCCTTGGTAGGCGTTATACTTCCGCTTTTCCGTCGTTTGATAGGTCGAGGTGACACAATCTCTTCATCCCGCTCTTCTGTCTCATCATCTTCTCGTGATCGTTTTATGAACTGGTCATGTTTTTCAACATCGAGTTTGAGGGGCTCGTGTTGAGCTTCTGGAGATGGCGATCTCTTAGGTGCTTGTGCTATTTTGGTAAAGTTTTCAGTCTCTTCCGAGACGTGTGCAGTAGCTTTTTTATCCATAGCCAGATATGGTGCCTTCTCTTCTGTCGAGAGCGAGGACCACTGTTGTATCAAGACGATGTGTAGTGCGGCTAATATGTAGGTCAGTGATAATTGCATTAGCAATTGATCCATAGACACTTACTATAACCCCTACCAGGATGTGCATTCAAAGTCTCCTGCTTCTTCTCGCGGGCAAAGAACTTGTAGGCTGATGGGACTTTGTTGTTGTGTTCGCTATTAATCAATTCTTCGAAGCGTTCGTCGTTTAAACCCGGCGTCTGCACTGGTGTATCGCCCTCTACTGGAACTGTGGACTGTGCAGCTTCTTCCTCTGGTTTGACCGATTGAGAAAATGGTTGGCTGATGGACTGACTCTGAATTTGGTTTTCTTCATCATGCTTCTTCTCGACTTTTCTCTTTATCTTTTCCCTTTTTGACACTGGATCGATGAGCCATTGCGGACGAACCACCTTTTCAAAGTACTGCCTCCATTGTACGGCCGTTTGCTTGCCCTGCTCCTCTGCCCATTTTTCCCATGCCGCATCATACTCGTCACTCATTTCTAGGCTGTTGATTAAATCCGCAAAGGCGTAGAGCTCTAGCCACTCATCTGTACTAAACAGTTCTTCCAGCTCATTGACGCTATACTCATTTTTTGAGTTAGCCTTTTTTTTGGCACTAGCTTCCTTCGCACTCGGTCCTTGCTCCCGTTTAGAGGTGTGTTGTTTTGTGGGTTTGGAAGACGATGAATCTGGAGGCGTACGTTTATTGGCTTGGTCGGACGAGGGAGATGGAGGAGCATCATTGGGTAAATCGAAAGCAGATGGCGGGCGGTTTCTGAGTTGCTTGAGGTAGCGGTCGCGCCACGATTGCCATGTGTGTTGTGGGTACTGTATTAGTTTAGCAGACGTACTTGTGCCAGACTTGTTGGCTCGCGCGTACCTTCTGCTCCAACTGCTTGTATATCTCGTTCCCGCTCACAGGGCTACCACTTAACTCAGCGTCGCGTGCCCATTTGTAGAGTATTTTGTCTTCTTCTGCTGTGTATGGCGTTCGTCCGCTCTTGGTGGGCTGGTGGATAGCTCCCGGCTCTCGCGCCTCGCCCACCGGTGGACCGGCTGGATGGTCTTTGGGGTCGCACAGTTCTCCATTCTTAATTGACTTGGTGACAAACTCGTATGAAATTGAGCCCGGTGGACAATCTCTTCGGAAGTGATCGGCAATCATGTAATCGGCCTTCTTCTCCAGCAGCACAATCTCTCCGCCATTGGCCTTGATCTCATCTAGCAGGTGGTTGCGCGTCGGCACGCGCTGCGCGACCCAGAATTTTTTACCTGCAAACAAGTTTCCGCCGGATTCGAAGTCAAATCCCTCATTGACATCTTCGTACACAACAGATGCTACCATGGTCGGGTTGTCACTGTCGCGCTAAGTGGTGGTGAGTCGACGCGTTACTAGTTGGGCTGTGACGAGACGCGCTCACATGTGACGGAGGATTCACGCGGGGTCAGGTGTCGGCAGCAGCCGCGTAAGTAGTCCCTTCAGCCTGTTCCCCACGATGCCTTCCATGCACACACGATTTGGTAGACCACAACACATTACGATGATGATGCGATAATAATTTTTGGGATTCCTTCTCTCTTTGCTCCGCCATGCGACGCCCGTTACAATCTGACCTTCCCCCATCATGACTGTCGCTCGCACCATCATCATCTTCACTGTCACAGTGTCCCTCGTTACCTTCATAGCCTTTTTCGGACGGCTGCCAGCTTTCAGGTGCCTACTCTGTGCGCGAGTGACAAGACTGTCTCTAACAAGACTAGAAACACACCCATTGGCTTCCTCAACCGTCTCTTCCTCATCCATATCCCCTCGACATTTCGAAGAGTCGACCTCGCTCTCACAAATGGCCGCATCACCAACGGTGGCTCCCGCCTGGGCCACTATCTTATGTACGACAAGCATCCACTCGTCGTCATCTTCTTTCTCGGCCTGGTGACTGCATGCGCCTTCATGTTTCTGCCCGCTGTGTGGCATCTCATTGGACTGCACCACAAGCTCTTTGCCTTTGTCATGCTGCCACAGCCATACATCTTTCTGTACCTAAGTGCAAAAAGAAACGACCAAACGTACATCAACGCAGCCAACCATGCTGAGCAAATGCGGCACTATCCGTATGACAGGGTGCTATACTACCCTGGAACTGAGTGTCGGACATGCAAGTTCCTGAAGCCTGCACGGAGCAAGCATTGCAGTATATGCAAAACGTGCGTCTCAAGAATGGATCATCATTGTATATGGGTGAACAACTGCCTAGGCCGGGGCAATTATAAGTGGTTCTTAGCCCTCTTGCTGTCGACGACTATTCTTATCGCCTACGGAGCATACCTCGCCTACTATGCCCTCTCTCCAATGGTCCTAAAGCAATACCTGAAGTACGAGAGCTGGTATAGATATAAACCCAAGATTGGCGTGGACTCCAAGAGTTGGAGTGCGTACTTTGACCGAAAGATGCATTACTTCCTCATGTACACGAGCATATACCTGGACGCCGGTGGTATTCGTGGGTCCGGTGTCGGCCTGCTCGCGCTGCTTACATGGCCTCTTCCATTGGGTCTCCTCACCTATCACATCTACCTCATCTGGGCGGGCATGACAACAAATGAGAGCTCAAAATGGGCAGATTGGCGTGATGAAATGGCAGAGGGTGTCGTCTTTCTCGGTCACCGGCGCGAGGACACAATGCAGGAATACCGCAGCCCAACAGATGACGAGGAACCGCCTACCACCTGGCCTCTAGAGAGCAGGCATATTCTCATTCGAACACAAACCGGGCAACCGCCTAAATCGCTACCTAGTCGCATCAGATCTGTTGCCAAAGAAGACAGCTTTGAGCGTGTATGGAATCTAGCTGCAGTGGAGAATGTGTACGACTTGGGCTTCTGGGACAATATCGTAGAGGTACTAGTAAACTAGTTATATCAATATAATTCAGGGACCATATACCTTGCAAGTATCCATCGGCCCATCTTCCCATGTAGTGAGACTCCCCACCTACCCACCCCTGCCGCTTATCCCAGACCCTTTACGCGTTCACGCATCTGCATCAAAACCTGTTGGTACACCCTTGCGATACGTGACGTCATGCTCGTCGCCATCTTACCACCACCAACACCAAGGCAACATACAAAGCAAACCTGTCTACCTAGCGTACTTGCTTGTAACACAAAACACACTAGTTCCTTAACTCTCATCAACATCAAGATCCATCATCATCTTCTCAAAAAAATTAAAACTAGAAAATCAGACACAATGACCCAAGCCCTCTCCAAACAAAACAACAAAAACCAAGTCCAGCAGCGAAACCAAGACAGCGCAACCCAAGTCCACGAGAGGACCGCGAGTGCAAATGCCTCTGTGAGTTTTCCTCCTTCTCTCTCTGCTTTATCCACCGAAAATAGAAGAGAAACCCCCCCCCCCCTCCCTTCTTCACCAAGAAAATAAGTCAAGAAGAAAGCTAACAAGGTGCAAAAAAACAACAAAAAAGGCCGGTCTAAATCTCAATCTCTTCGCCGCTCTCTCCGGCGCGTTTAGTTCAAAGTCGAAGAAGAGTACGCGGCAGGAGGCGAATGGGGATAGTGTTACCGAGGAGGAGAGATGGGATAGAGGTATTTCCATCCCTTTTGTTTTGTTTTTTCCAATCATTCTACAACAGTCACTGTTGGATTGGGGGAGGGGGGGTTTTTTTGTAAAGAGATAAAGACTAATGTGTGTGTGTGTGTGTGAATGTGGAACAGGTGAAGCAAGTGGGATTGCCAGAGCACAGGGTAGAGCGTATGCGGCTGCGAATGCGGAGGAGAGGGAGGTCAAGGCGAAGAGGGTGGATCATTTGGGGATTGAAGGGTGAGAAAGAAAGAAACAAACTGCCATGGTTAGATAAAGACAAAGATAAAGGGCGGGTTTTTTTGTGTATATGGAGGTGTAAGTCATTTAATCAATCAGATTGAACGTTTCTACACATGAGCGAATAAGTCCCGAGAAAAGAACACAGAAATGATAAATGAATAATGATAAAGATACACTGGTATATCCCGCTGTTACATGTTTATCCAACGCCAAAAAAAACACCAAAATAATGATACCAGCGTTGTTTCCTTCTAGAAACACTTTGATCACACTGCAGTTCCAACACCACTGCTAATCTTACTCAAACCCTCAACTCCCCTCTTAGCAGCAGCAACATGCCAGGGGATAGTTCCATTCCTCGTACCCCTCATTCCTCTCAACTTAGCCAACAAGCCCAATGCCCTAAATTGTCCGAGGACTTCTTTCAGCAGTCCTTCGGCTGTCGTTCTCGTCTGCGGTGTAGGCGTCCACATGAGACTTGTTGTGCTTCTCTGACCCTCCTGGCCCGGTCCAGGACTCTGTGGCGTACCAGGGTTGCTGGCATATGGATTCGGGAGATTGGAACCGCCAGGACTGGGCAGGTCCGAGGACGATATTGAGGAGGATGCCGATGCATTTGCAGAAGACGATGTACCTGAGGGAAAGGGCAAGTTGGTCGCGGCATTACGAGATGAGCCTACTGCACCGATCCAGAGAAAATTTACGGCGATGACAATGGGTCCTTGCTCTGGGTCTGGAATAGGGTGCGCGATGCTGTTGGACGTTTGTAATGTTTCGCCGCGTTTGATGAGCAGGCCGGATATGAGGGCTGGGCTGAATTGGGTCGTTGTGTGCGAATTGTGCAAACGATGGGCAAGAATTATGCCCCAAGTGTCGTCAGTTACATCTATGAGACGTGCTTCGGGATCGGCAGCTGGGTCTGTAGCCGTGGGGTCGGCGGCAGGTGTGGCGGCGGGTGTAAGACCTGGTCCTGGATCTGAAGGCGACACACCAGCTTGGGGTGTAGAACCTGGAGTAGTAGCTCCAGCACCAGTTGCTGGGGTTGGATTAGGCACCGTAGGGGTGAATTGGTATGGCGGATCCGTATCAACTGCTGTGAGCAACGTGACAAAGACATTGATCTGTGTAGGACATGAGATGAGAAAGACCCATGTCTCGAGCTCTTCCCTTTCAAGTACACCAGCTTTAGCGATGCAGACACGCCAGTTGACTCTTCGAGATTGCAGTATCTCGATCGTGGTTTGCCATATCTCCTTTGCAATCTCTCTGAACATTCTTGTCCCTAGGTAGTACGAGACGACTGCTTGGGACTTGCCACAGCTGTCAGTCCATGCAGCAGTGACCCACGCACCATCGAGACTAATGGCGTAGCCGAGATGCATGTACGTGTTTTCCCGCAGCAAGTCCTGGGCCGGCTCTGATATAAGTTTGAAAGGGATATTGCGCGGCAGTGTCTCTTCCAGATGGAACGCGGGTGCTTTGTATATGCTGAGAGATGTCTTGTCACCACTTGGCGCACTGGGAGGGCATCGATCGTAGACCTCTCGCGCAAGACCCATGTACGTAGATGGGTCAAGGATAACGGGTGCATCAAATGAAGCAACGTACTTCATCGGGATGATCTGTAGCACGACATCTGGCTTCTGTGGCTGGTCTGGACGTCCTGGATGACCTTGCGTGTATGCCTGGAAGAGCGCCCAAAAGGCCGAACACAGCTCCCAAACTGCTGATGATCCTCCAAAAGGATCAATCATATAAATGACAAAAGCGTCGACCTTGGAATCCTGCTGCTCTCGTATCTGGCCGTACTGGAGAGCGAGATGCTTACCAAGCTGGATGCAAGTATCTCTGAGAAGTTTGAATGTTTCTCGTGGTGTAATGGTCGAGGTTGCTCTGACAGGTACAAGACCGCCTTCGTACTCTGCCGCTGTCTCTACCCGACTATGATTACCAAGTTTACAACCATCGTAGGTAAGTTGGAGATTAAGTAGAAAACTTTCCAAGCACGGCCTGATTGCCTCGCTGTGGGGATATACACAGAATGTGACAATGTTCTTTGGGTGGCTGATAGGGGAGAGCCCTAGAGTCTCCCAAAACGCCACCGCAGGCGGCAGTAGATCCCAGTGCGTTTCTGCACGGCGCACTCTCAGGAATGGCGCCTGGATTTGATACATGTGACTCCCTGTGACTGCTGGGCTGTCTGATTTTCGTGCAGGAGGCCTTTGCTGTGCTTTGGCCAGAGCGGCATAGTCTTGGAATACTTCGTTGACACTGGCTAATGTAGGCAGATCGCAATCCGTAACCGTTGGAAAGAGGTTTTTAATAATGTTGTACCAAGGCGTCTCGGCCACAGCATCGTTGTTGAATTCGCTCTTGACGGGTGGGTCCTCGTTGAGCATATCGAGTGTTGTAGAGACAAGCTGGTCAGTCACGATTTGTGTGATGGATATGCTGTCCTTTGCACTCAGCGGCTTCTCATCCGGTACCTCATACGCGGGATCGGGCTGAGAAGTAGGGGTGTCGGGCATCTGCGCAGGGCCTGGTAGCAAAGCAGGCAGACTGTATCGTGCTCCAGCTACAGGCCGCTCAGCTGGAGAAGGGACGTTGACTAGAGACCAGTCCCAAAGACTTGGCTCGAAACTACTGAGATTGGCTTCATCTAGGTGCAAGCCATACAATTCTAGCCAGTCCCCTCCTAGGGATTCTGCAAACGAGGTCACGGACAGTGGGGTCGCGTTGCCCTCACTTTGCAGCTTTCTCTTGGCGGGCATAGTAAGGCTATGCATAATTGCAGCAGGCGTCACCTCTACCTCTTCATCTCCAGAATCGTTGCCAGATGCATCCGACACCTCACTTGAAGAATCTGAATCGTCACTAACCGCACGAGCCAGAGACGCTATCTCGGGGATTCGGTTCGTGGATGCAATTCCAGCGGCGAGCCGAAGCTTCGAAAGCAAAGGAAATTCTCTCAAGCTTTTCGGTTGTGTAGTGGGAGCATTTCTAGCCGGGCTGGGACTGAGCTGAACTTGACCAGTCGGAGTCGTGGGGCGATGTGCACTAAACCGTCCGCCCTGATACTTTGCATCAGATAAGCTCATCTTACGATTAAACACAACCGGAGTGAAGTGTGCATCAGGGTGACTCTCGGAACTTCGTTCTGATCGAATGCGTGATGCTGATTTACGAGGTGGAGACGGCTCTAGCGCTTTGAGGATCTTACTAGGACTGAGAGGCGGCGTGGGTGCCCTGGAGAATGAAACGTTTCTGCGCACTGGTGATGATTTGTTGTCTCCTGAATTGTCAGAGATTTCAATCTTGGGCGCTGGCATATGCGCGGGTTCTTTGCCTTTTGCATGGTCTTGACTCATTACAGGCTCAGAAGCTGTAGCCAGGGCGTTCTCGAGGGCTGCGAAAGGATCCGACATGTCATCTTGGGCCTGGGACTCAGTAGTGGCCTTGGGATGCGGGTCCTGTGTAGCATGAGTAGGTGGTGCATTATCATTAGGGAGAGCAGGTGCGTCTAGCATGTCAACGTCGTCATTATCCGGGCCGTCAAAGAAATCGAAATCTGTATCGTTGATACGGTCACCTGTGTAACCGTCTTCCTCCATGTCCTCAAAAAGATCATCGTTACCGCTAGATGCGTTGAAGTTATCGGTCGCAGAAGGAACAGCTGGAGATGTCGTAATCATTTGTTGGTCTTCCGTCTTGACACTGTCTGGTGGAGCAGAGAGATTGATGGCAGGATTGTTTCCTCCAGGGACCAGAACAACATTGGAACCTGTGCCAGATACAGTCGGTGTGTCGCCGTAGGATACCCCAGTGCCAGGGGCAATTCCATCTGGTGGCGTTGGGTACACACCGCTTACTGCTTGTAAGTCGCCATAGGTTCCCCCACGAGCGTTGAGCGGCGATGATGGATGCAGACCAGGATGTTCCTCTTTACGACGGGCAGCGTCTTCTTCGGCCTTTTTGGCCTTTTTACGTGCTTCAAGAATCTTATCACGGTCTGGCTTTCCCAAAAACCACTCTTGTGCAACATCAAGTGGGTCCTTGAAGCCCATGGACTCTGGTGTCTCGAACCATCTCAGTATATTGGAGTTCCCAGCCGTACTGATGGCGTTTGTTCCCGTAACTGTAGGGTCCGGTTCATTTGTAACGTGGAAGAAACACAGTGCTCGTGGCCATAGAATATCCCGTTCTGGCCCGACTGAAGCCGGGCTCCAGAGAACGGGGCTTGACGTTAGCGTAGTGCGAATCCTGACCCATGAGGTTCTTTGGTCTAAGTCAGGCAAATCGTAGCCTTTCCAGCCTAGCCAACGCTTGACGCTCGACTTCCATTTCTCAATGTTTTGCTCTAGAGATGTTGATTTTGTACGTTTCCGGTGACGGATGCTAATTTCCTCGTTGATGGAATCTAAAGGATCTTCAAAACTGATGATGGTGGCAAGCACACCATTGGGTGCTACACGGATGCATGTGCCAACAAGCTGTCTCTCCTCACTTTGGGTGGAGACGCTGCTCAAGCAACGTATGGTATTCTTTCGGTCAGTAAAAGTTGATAGCAAAAGCGTGCCTGAGCTAGCCCAGTGGACATTGATACTGGTAAGACGATGCACCTCTGGTTGGGGTTCAACATCAGTTTGAGCATCATCAATGCACTTGGAGGCTTTGGATACGAATGTGCGATAGTTCAAAGCCACGACCGGGCTGTCTTTGACAACGTGGAACGAGATCAATGCGACAACCGACGATGTGAAGAGCTCATAGAGGGTAAAGCAATCAGGTGGTGGGGGTAGGTCAGCAGACGGTTGCGGCTGTGTGCTTCCCTGTGCGGGTTTTGGATTGTTACCGCTTTGTAAGCCTCGTTGAGGCGCGTTTGTTGAGGGTGGGTGCGGAGCGCCTGGGCGCATGGGCGGACGGACTAGATCGATGGCTTTAATAGCGCCCGTGTGTTCGCCTAGAAAGTGTCAGTGTTGCAGTGGGGTGTGTATGAGGGTCATCGGGGGGGAGGGAACGGACGTTGCAAGCGGTAGCCATCGATTTCTGGTAGCTGGGGACTGGCTTGGCCTAGCTTGTCAACCGTGGTCGGCTTAAACAGCCAGAGCCAGGGGCGCGCAGTGTCGTGCGCAACCAGGTGGAGAGCATGGCGCAATTCAGCCTCGACAGCACGTGTGTCTTCGGAAGGGCTCCAGGATGGGGGTGGTTGTTTGGAGGATTGAGGTGAGGTGGTGGTGGTGGTGCGGGTGACGGAGATGGCTTGGTAGGCAATGGCTTCAAAGTCTCCTATCGCTTGCGCATTGGTTGTGCACGTCTTGAGAAATTCCATTAGAGAGACGGCTGCCCTCTACGGAACATTCAGGTGGTATTCGCGACGTATCTTCACTCCGAGGACGGCGCTGTACACCTTTTCCATCAACTGCGCTGCGGGCCGCTCGACGCGTCGCGCGCGACTGCAACGATTACAGCAACGGGGAAGGCGTGGAAGGGGAGATGGCGTCTCTCAAGCCGGCATGGTCTGGTTGGGGCGTCTGGTGTAGCGGATGGAGCATGGCGACCGCTGCTGCTGGCCGGCCCCGACGGTGATGGGAGGTGCGGGCGCAGCTGGGGGTCCCGGGCGACGGTGGGGGATGGGCGACAGGTGACGAGCACCGGGCGATGATTAGGTGATGGGCGATGGGCGATGGACCCGTCTTGGGAGGCGAGGTGAAGGGTTTCAGACACGGGCGTGGACTCGACGCCTTATGCCGCGATGCGACGCCGGATGGGGTGGGCAAGACCTGGGTCTATGTCTGGATGTATGTAGTTCTGCTGGGGTGGTGGTGGAGTCGGGGGAGCAGCTGGGAGCGAAGGCGGCTCGGCAAGCGGCGCGTTGCCCTAGGAGCCTAGGAGCCTAAGAGCCTAGGAGCCTAGGAGCCATGTCCATCCATATCTATAGCCCGCTGTCCGCTGCTGTGGGAGCGCGAAGTCCCCGGTCGGCCCTAGCCCTGGCCCGTGGGCTGGACCCGCTCTTTTTTTGCCCGCGCCAACTTCTTCATCGTCTGTCTGTCTGTCTGTCTGTCTGCTTCTTCTCTGTCCGTCTGTCCGTCTGTCTGTTTGTCTGTCGGCTGCTCTTGCCGTGCGACCCTATCCTTTCCCACCGCTCCGTCGCGCCACCATGAAAATCTCCGCCGGAAACGTGCCCGTCTACACCATCAGCGGCAGCGAGGCCCGTCCTCTGCCCGAATGGCTGATTCGCAAGCGCAAACGCAGTTTGAAAAACGACCCTGAGTTCGCCAATCGTGTGGATTTGCTGCAGGATTTTGAGTTTGAAGAGGCCAGCCAGTGTGTGCGTGTCAGCGAGGATGGCGACTGGGTCATGAGCACTGGAACATACAAGCCCCAGATACACGTTCACTACCTCCCCCACCTGTCGCTGTCCTTTGCACGCCACACCAATACTCTGGTATGCATTTTATATATTCAAACTGCGCTTCACCCAATGCTGACCTCGTGCTAGAACCAAACCTTCCACCTGCTCTCATCCGATGCGACCAAGAGCGTCCATCTGCAGCAGGATCGGTGCATCGAGTTCCATACCGGCGGAGGCCTCCACTACGCCAGCCGCATACCTCGCTATGGCCGCGACCTTATATACGACCGCCGATCCGCCGAGTGTCTAGTGCCATCCGTTGGCGTTAACGCTGAAGGGATGGGAGAGTGCTTCCGGCTGAACCTCGAAGTTGGGCGCTTTATGCGTAGTTATGAGGTTGATGTGGGCGGCAGCGACGACCTAGCTGCGGGTGGACTGCAGGGCGGCATCGACGCTGGCGCCGTCAACACGGGCGCTATTGCAGAGCAGACGCACGGCCTGCTGGCACTGGGCACCTCACTGGGTACTGTCGAGTACTTTGATTCGCGCACCCGCACTCGAGTCGGTATCTTGTCATCTCCCAAGGATTCGTTCGAGGGCCGCTCGGAGACGACCGCCCTTGCGTTTTCCCCGAATGGCCTGGAAATGGCCGTCGGAGATTCCAACGGCATAACACACCTCTACGACCTGCGATCTCCCAAGCCACTGCTTAGAAAGGACCAAGGATATGGTTTCGCCATAAAAAATATCATATACCTCGATGGCGCACAGACGCCCGAGCCAAAGATACTCACTGCCGACCAGCGCGTCATCAAGATTTGGAATGCAAAGGACGGCACTCCATGGACCTCTGTACAGCCATCCGTTGACTTGAACCACGTCGAGTGGGTACCCAAGACTGGCATGCTGCTGACTGCAAACGAGGGAAGGCAACAACACTCCTTCTTCATCCCACAACTAGGCCCAGCGCCAAGATGGTGTCATTTCCTGGACAATATCGTGGAAGAAATGGCCGAAGACCCCAACGACCCCAACGCTTTTGGCAAGGGCGCCGTAGGAGACGTGTACGACAACTTCAAGTTCTTGACCATGGATCAACTAAAACAACTGTCCCTCGATCACCTCGTCGGAACCACCAGTCTCCTCCGTCCGTACATGCACGGTTTCTTCGTTGCCCAGAAGCTGTACGAAGAAGCACGGCTCATCTCGAACCCAGATCTCTGGCAAGAACAGCGCGCCAAGAGCATCGCCGAGAAGATCAACAAGGAGCGCGAAAGCAGGATTCGCGGCAGCAAAAAGGTGGCCGTCAAGGTCAACCGCAAGCTTGCCGAGAAGATGCTCGAGAAGCAGGAAGAGCAAGAACGCAGGCGCGCCAAGCGCGTCCTCAAGAATGGCGGCGACGACGACATGCTCCAGTCCGCGCCCGCCGTCCAAGAAGACGGCACCCAACCCGCTGCCAGCGGTGGTGTCCTCAACGACCCGCGTTTCGCAAAGATGTTCGAAGACCCCGAATTCGAAATCGACGAGCAAACCCGCGAGTTCCAGCAACTCAACCCCAGCACAAAGATCCCCAAGGGCCTCACTGCCGCCGAGCAAGAGGAGCTCGAATCCAAAAAGGGTTCTTCCGACGAAGACTCCTCCTCCGACGGTGATGACGATTCCGAGGCTGACCAAGTCCGAAAACCAAAGAAGCAACAAGACACACGCATCTCATCTAGCTCCTACAAAAAATCAGGTCACCGCTCCCAACGCGGCCCGGAAATGCACGTCTCATCTTCCCACAACAATAACAACTCCAATAACCACCGCTCCTCTGCCTCGGCAAAAGATAAAACATTCGGCTCCCGCGTCTCGAAACTCAAACCCTCGAAACATGCCACTTCTGCCTCGTCGTCCCGATCAAATACCACAGTGGTGGGCGAGCGCGAAATCACTTTTGCGCCTGAGCGGAAACAAAGAAAGAGGTCGGGTCATGATGGTGAAGAAGGGGGAGGTGGTGGTCAGCGCCATGATCGAAGGAGAGACGGACAGAGGAGAAATGCTAGTGGGAATGTGTTTAGGAATATGTAAAGATGTTGTTGTTGTTTTTTTCTTTCTTTCCTCATCAGATATGTGAGAGTAATGATACCCTTTGTTTCTTCTTCTTTCGTTGATGAATTAAAAGACATTGGAGATTTTTAAAATGGAAAGAAGAAGAAGAAGAAGAAGACAAAGACCTTGGGCCTAGAGTGCTCTGGATTTGGATTTGGGGGCGCATAGGGGTTACTGGAGAAATACATAAAAATAAAAGTTGTTGTTGGTTATTGTTGTACATGATTATGGGTTGGGAAATGGGGGGAGGGGGTGGAATGAGTTAGTATATATGTATATTCAAGTCAAGATGCATGGGAAAGGGATTTAGTAGTGTGTGTGTTCTCAAGTCGGAACACGAGAAATGAAATCAACAGCTCCAAGTCCAAAAAAAAACATGGTTCAAGTATGATCAATATATTCCAAGTCGGAATGTCTGCGCCCCATGCACAAGAGATATCCTAAACCAGTCCAGTCCAGTCCAGTCCAGTCCTCTCGGACCATGTACATGTATTGAAGAAACGCCTTCACCTACTCTAAACAACTTCTACTACTAATCCCACCGAGACGTTGAATGTCCCTCTCCCCTACCACCCCTCACTCGCTTTAAGGACACGTAATCCCCTTGGCGGTCCCTTTTGCTTTCCTTTGCGTGGTTCATTTATCTTGCCTAGTATATGGCTGATATCCAAGCATCACTCTCTCTACTCAGAAGCTGGCTTGTTCAGGAAAGTGTAGGCGGCAAAGGCAAGGGCTCCACCGAGGAGGATAATGGCGTAAAGGCCAACGCCAGTCGAGGCACCGTCGGTAGTGGTAGCAGTAGCACCAACCGCTGGGTAGCTCTTGGGCTTTGGATCGCCCGCCTATTTGACGTGTCAGCTAAGCCTTGTCGTCAATCGATGGCTAGTTCATCCCGGATCTCTCTTTGGGAAGTGATCCGAGATATATCCGCATGAGCGTATCCGCCGGCAATTGCGGATGTTGCCATTCCGCAACCGGGGACCGAGAGCCCTGTGTGCTTGGCAGAACTTCTGTTTTGCCTGGCGAATCGAAACATTCGAGTATACGTTGCCGTTCTCGGGAATTAAAGAGAACAAAAAATGTTGATGAAGAGGAAGGGGGGGAGAGGAGGTGGGAAATTCTCAAGTCGTACCTTGCGCTCCAGCTTTCCAACGTACAGACCCTCGAGAATCTCGCGAGCCTCGTCGGAGTGGCCGACGTCCTCGAATGCCTCTGTAGAGTCCTGGCCTCCGACATCGAGCAAAACTTCTTCACCACCTCTGCATATCAACGCGTTAGCGATTGTTGTATTGTCTGAAATTTGGGGATGGAGAGCAGCAAGCAACGGCCGAGGTCCAAGGTGGGGTTCTTTTGCGATAGCCACCACCACCACCACCACCAAGGACACCCGCAACGTAATGTGCAGCGTCCAACAGAGGCAACATACGGGTGCTCATCTACAAAGCTCGAGGCGTTGTAGACCTTGTCGTGGACGACAATGTACAGATCCTTCTTGGTGTTGTGTGCCGCAACATCAGAGTAGGTGAATACCTTGTCCGCCATTGTAGAAATGAAGACTTTGCGAGCGTGTACGAGGAGACGGTGGAGATTGCTGAATCTACTTTGGTAGGAGCGGTACGAGGGTGGGACGTGGTATGCGGGTGCAGAAGCGGATGGTGGAGGTGAGGTGTTGAAAAGTAGATACGGTGTACAGAAAGTTGCCGATTCTTGTAGCGGTTTTAGGGCTCGGCCCTAGGTAGGGAATCTACAACAGAAGGCAAGACGACAAATCCCGAAACCCCGATTGGCTATCGGGTACCTGGCTCGCCGACTTCCGCTCCTGATAGGCCGGCCAGAAGGGGTAAGAAGACCCTATTGCGCCTTTGCCGTGAGGACGCCTATCGGACGGTCGCGGGGCGGGGCAGGGCAGTCGATTCACTTTGAGTATCCGCTTCCGCCCGTTTGAACAAATGGCATGCATACTGCATATAATACTGCATACATGCAAAAAAAAAACTCTAGGAAACATGTCATGCGATCAATTTCATTTATTGTGCTATGCCATCGTTACGAGCCCAATACCTTGACTCTCATCCACTCGCTCGTCCCGACACCGAGATTTAGTCCGTTCAGCGCCCACCATCTCCTCACAGCCTCGCCCTTGGCTCCCTCGACCCCGTCTTCCAGGGCCTCTTCTATGTCACATGTTTTGTACTCGACTTTCAACCCACTACGCTTCCACCATTCGAGTACGTGAGCGTGGCCCATCTTAGTAGGCCCCACAAGAACCTGGTTATCGAAGAGAATTTTCTCGCCGCGGAGTTTGCGCCAGTAGTCTAGAATGTGAGTATGGCCGTGGGTCGAGGCAACCTTGGCAATGGTATCCTCGTGGGAGAAGGGGATGCCCGAGTCAACCCAAAAGATGATTGCTGGTAGACAGCCAGACTGTGTTGCGTAGGTGATGGACTTTCCGACCTTGAGCGGTAGGTCCTCGCGATGCGACTTGGTAGGAGCGTCTTCGTCGATTGGGCTAGATGGGACGGAAGGGGCGGTCCGGTGACGACTGTGCTCCTTCCACCACTTGAGCACATGAATATGTCCCTGAGAGCTTGCCTGCTCAAGTGCCGCTTCAGTGTACTTGAGCGCAAGACCAGAGTGGTACCACCAATCGAGGACTTGGACCGAGTTGGCACGGCTCGCATCGTCAATAGCCTCATCAGAGTACTCCTTTGTCAAGAAGGCAGGCGACGTTCTCCAATAGTCCAAAATCTCCGTCTTGCCAAACACTGAGGCCTTGTGAGGTAGGAAAGTGTGGCCAAAGGTTCCCCAGAAAAGATCCTTGTGGCATGTTTCGAGATGGGCAAGTACAGGCACCATGGCAAAGCGCATGATGAGTTCAATGCAGAGGCGTGATATGCGTGTCGGTTTTTCCATGTCAAAGACCTTCTTGATGTCCGGGTATGGATATGTGAGCAGGGCCCACTCGAGTTTCTGCATCTGTGTCTTTGGCCCTTCGTCGCTCGCGGCTTGGCGCCACTCTTTGGGTATCGGCAGGGTTGTGTGGACGTTGAGCGTGGTTGCTAGCTCCCAGTCTTTTGTGAATTCAAGGACGATTGACCAGAGTTCGGGTGGGAGACGGGGCCCTTTGCTCCTCGTAGGCGTCAGTGTTGGTAGATGGGCAATGGGCAGGGCGACGGTGCGGTTGCCTACAGCCATAAGGTCGATCTGAGTCTGGATGGATTCGTTGAAGGCTTTGTGGCCTTCTACCCACGGCTGGTATTTGCGGCCGGAGTGATCAAACGACCACAAGAAGGGAGGCAAGACGCGGATCCAATTCCACTTGCGCCGGATCTTGCTGATGTGCTTCCGTGACATGGGATTCTCCCACATCAGTGTTGACATTGCGGGTATGAGCAGTATCTTCTTAGACACGTTCCAGCTGCGCAGAAGCTGCAGATGCAGGCTGGTGGTGAAGCCATGGAGCATGCGTGCCAGGTTCTCTGCATTGAGCGGCGCAAGGACTAGCAGGTCTGCCCAGGCGCAGTAGTCGGCAACGCATGTGTCGAGGTAGTCGGCGTGCTGCCAGTCGGGCGGCGCAGTGTCGTCAGGCGTGTATGTGTGCCATAGCGGCTCGAGTTGAGGAGGAATGGTAGTCTGGGCGGCGGCTGGGAATTCTTTGCAGGCAATGACCTTTAGAGAGACGTTGTCGAGGCGGTGCAGACGGGCGACAATGGAGCAGCCAAAGCGGAAGGCCGAGGGGTCTGTCAGGGCGACGAGGACATTGAGGGTCCGGGCTGGTGATTGCGCTGCCATTGGGGAAGAGAGAAGGGGTGTTTTTGGGGTTGCAGTGAGCAGGACAAAGGGCAGTGGCAGAGGGAGTGTGTTAACCCGCCATTGGCCGCAGCCCCACCGGGCCCTCGTGGCTATCTAATCTGATGCATGTGGCAGAGAGGACGGAGGGGTGTCAGGGACACGGGAGCGGGAAGGGGGTATGGCGGGGAGGTTATGGGATGTGGGTGTAACAGCAGGTGTAGCAAGTGCATGTGCGTGTGCATGTGCATGTGCATGTAGCGAGTAGTGTAGAGTAGGCGGAGGGGCAGGGCGGATAGGACAGGGCAGCATAGGCGGGCAAGGCGGGCAAGGCGGGCAAGGCGGGCAGAACATGGGCAGGGCTTGGGCATGGCTGGGCACTGGCAGTCACGTGCATGTCCCGACGGCGAGACACTTATTCCGGTCCGGGCGGGCAAGGCGTGCAGAACATGGGCAGGGCACTGGCATGGGCACTGGCACTGGCAATGGTGGCGCCAGTCACGTGCATGTCCCCTCCGACGGCGAGACACTTATTCCGGTCTGGGCGGGCGTCGGGGCAGGCAGGCCGGGCTCCGACGCAAGAGGCGGGCGGGTGACGTCATGTGGCCCCTGGTGGCGAGGCCTGCACCGCCGCATGGGCGGTGGGTGGGCCGTGGCGACGCCAGCATGCAATTGTCGCCAAAAAGCCATGCTTGCGGACCACTTGGCCACACCAGAGCTTTTCACGCCTCGCCCGTCCTCTACTTGCGCTATCCTGCTCTAGGCTTAAATCGACGATCCCAGAGATGCACCAGCTATCCCCAAAGCCGGCGGCGATCGACGCAACAGGGCGTGCACCAGGCCGTCCAAGTCTCTGTCCAGCCGGTCATGACTGCTGTCCAGCTTCGCCTGTAGTACGACACTGACGTCCTCTGCTTCACTGTGCATGCGCCGCCCCAGCTACTCACAGGAGCCCTGCCTCCCTCTCCGCGCGCCCCCGTCTGCTGCTGCTGGCGCTGCCGGTGCTGCTGCTGCTGTCGCCTCTCGCCCGCCGTCGACATCTAATCCTCGTCCTTGCCCACTACCCTGTTTCCTCCAAAGGTCCAGATTTCCTCGCCGCCCCCGCACCCTCCACCTTCAGCAGCAACACTGCCCAATTTGATGCGCCTGCCGGCCCTACCCTACCCCGGCCACGACGACGACAAAATCAA